AAAAAATACTGATTTCAATCACGTTCTATAATGTGCCGATTTATTGAACAAATGTTTTGGTCAATACCCATTTTTTCTGAGAAGATTATAAACGCTTATATAGGCATTTTTTATTTCTAATTGTTTTTTTGTTTGTTTGAGAAGATATTATTTATTCAATAATATGTTACATAAAGGAAATGTGAATATGAAAAATCACAAATAGCATATTAGAATGTTAATTCGTGGTGATGGTTTATAGTTTTATTTATTGTACCAGAACATGCCTTGATCTAGAATCAATTTTTGTGATTGATGTTTTAGTTTCTAACATCTTCTGAATTTATATGTATTATTATAAAAAAATTATATCATTTCGTTTCGACTTCATTTCTTTTGAAAGTCCGAACACGTATTTGACGCAAAACAAGCCGACCGGCGGTAATTGTTTGTGCAAACTTTTATCACGTTTTATGCGGTTAAATGCTGCTGTCTGTAATATTCTATTAGCGTCAAAAATCTAACGCGGTTTTACTTTACCTTTACCACATAATTCAGGGATGCCTAATTCTAAATTTTAAGGAATACATAAAACATAATCGAGGACTTAATTGATGAATTGTAAAGTTTACAGAAAAAATCTAAATTTTGGATGCTTTAAAAAATATTCTCTATATATATAATTAGAGCTTGCCATTGCACCTTAAGTGAGAAAAATTTCTGGAGATTAAAATTTAAAATCGATTATAAAAGTTTATCATTCCTATAATTACCTACTATAGACCAGATTAAATACACACATTTACAAGCTCACACAGCTATAAAAGCTACTTATCGCAATAGTTGCTCTACAACAAATTTACGATGCCTTATTTTTTGAAAATGAAATGTGAATTGATGTTGGTCTTGATCATGTCAAATCACACAACGTTGAAATTAAAATTTTTGACAATTTTGATAAATTATGTCTATTTAATCATCACTTAACCTAACTTTACATTGTGGTCACATCAGAAAGTTGCACTTATATAAAATTGTTAATTGGCGTTTTTGAGTTTATAGATTAGGTTTTATGGTTACGCCTAATCAAACAGCAAATTCATAATTTTTGACAGTTTGTGACTACCAAATCATACAAAGATAGACCCGTAACATTACCATAACATTTCCAATTTTATCCGAAAATTGCCCCAAAATTTTATTTGAATTTAATATTAAAGTACTAGTGCTATGCATTTTATACTTTGAAGATAATTGCTGTGAATCAAAATTTTTAACAATTATTACCTTGAGCAAATTTTTTTTTGTATGAATATAAATTCATTAAACTGCATTGACTAGTAAAAGAATATTTAACAAAATTTTAATTATAGTAAAAATTATCACTGAAAAAACATAACACTAATATTGATGAAATTCTCAAATTTTTGCATTTCTACATCATTATATCATTTATTGAATATTCATAACACAATTAATTTTCTATTACCTTATTGATAATAGTAACAATTTTGTTACTAGTCGGCAACAGTTGCTTTAGTAAAAAATTAAATTTATGTAAAATGTACAAAATTACATCCAACTATTTCTCATATGCATTTTGTACTTTGCAGATTATTGCTGTAAATTAAAATATTTAGCAATTATTACCTAGTGTAAAATTTTTTGTATGAATATAAATACTTTGATCAGTGATGAAAAATTAACAAAATATCATTTATGGTAAAAATTATCACTAAAAAGCATTACTATAATATTGAAAAAATTCTTACCAATTTTTGCAAAAATTTAGCATTTCTACATAATTATATGATTATTTAAATATTCATAACTCTATTAACTATTCTATTATCTTATTGCTAATTGTAACAATTTTGTTACCAATCGGCACCAGTTGCTTTAATAATAAATTACCATTTAAATTTTTCCTAAATATACAAAATTACATCCAACTATTTCCCAAGCCCTGATAACTATTTCCAGCGGTGGGAGTCGATTATTCCGATATTTGGTAAAAAAATCAGCATATTATAGCATAGAAAATCAGTTTAGTTGGATTTTCTAATGTGTTATGATGTAAAAATATTTAATTATTATGCTTCATCGATTCGTATTCAAAAAAAGGAACCCATTGGGAAATCGATAGTATAGAAGTGATTACTAAATATGTTACAATAAAATACGTGGCGATTAGTGGTTTATAAATGTAGAGTTAGAACTTGGTGAAAATGTTGTGAAATTTATAGTATATTTAAATTTGTGCAAAATTTAGGTTTGATTAAAAAAAAATCAGTGATTTTGTGAGATTGTAGATGGACAAATTCATATGCCATTTTTATTCTACATTTTGTTTCGGTAAGTGGGTTTTCTTCATCAGAGAAGAATTTCATAGAATTTTATGGAATTTACGAAGTATATTTGAAAAATATAAATAATAGTGACATCTTTAAATTCACAAGACCTCGTGAACCAATGGCAATTTTTTTTCTACAGAATCTACTTTCTCATTTTTCTTCATCAGAGAAGAGTTTAATTGAATTTTATGGAATTTACGATGTGTATTTGATAAATATAAATAATAATGATAAAATAATCCTTAAATTTACAAGACCTGATAATCTAATGGCAACTTTTTTTTACAAAAGCTACTTTAGTGCTATAATAGTTAATTAGAAATCTAGGCTATAAAATATCTAAGCTATTAAATTGCCAGGTTTCTAATTTTTTTTTCCAAAATATCAGTTTAAAAGATTTCCTTTGAAGATTCGTAAGGTTTTCTGGAAACGAACATTAAAATATAAATTGTAATATATGCACATTTTTATATAATTTGTATAAAATTTAGGTTAATTGAAAAAATGTGATTTAGAGGCTCTCATAATTTTTTTTTCATTTCTTAAAGTAAATCGTCTAATTTTAATTTTAACAAACTCCAAAAAACTACTCATTTTACCAAACCTTGATGAATTTTTAAAATTAAACTTCTTGACGTAAGGCCGTTATATTTCGTAAGTTCTATAAGACCATGATATATATCGCCAAAAGTTCCATAAAAATCTTTTTTCAACAGTTAATACAACAACAAAACAGCTCGGTAGATTTTCACCTACAACTAAATTTTTGCAAACTTTGAAGAATTTGTACGACTTATCGTAGGGCAGTAATATTTTAGTATGATCTATAAGACGATGGTATACACCGTCAAAAAAATTAGTAAAAATGTGTTCATACATACACACATACTTTTTCTAAATTTGGTCTCATTCGATTCAGAATGGCTTGAAACGTCGATAAAACTTAAAATAGCGAATTGGATTTTTTATGAAAGCATAAACTTCTTCGGGAGGTTGATACTTACCCTTGTTCCAAGAAGCCTCTAGCTGCCCTATATATATTAAGTTATTTAAACTTTATGTATTATCAATATTTTATTTAAAACTGGAACATGTTTTATGTTCCTACATTGGCCTTATTCAAGTACATGCTAATATTACTTTTACTCATATGTGGACCTTGAGGTATTATCGAGGTCTATTATAATTTAAATAATCCCCATTAAATCTAATCTCAAAAATAACAATTAACTTCATCGTCTTGTTG